ACCTGCATATACTCAGGTTAATGGAGTGTTTAACTGGTGACATGCAGGATCCCCTAGGATGCATTTACGAAGGAAATTGTATGGGGTTAGGGAACTGAAACTAAGGAACATTTATTTAAGCGCCAGACTTGAAATGTTCTCTCATTAGAAAGCAGTGTATGAAGTAGAACCTTCTGGTGCTGGAGAGATGGTATAGCAGGTAAGGCACTTGCCTTGCACACAGCCAACTTGCTTTGACCCCTGGAGCCTTGTATGGTTCCCCAGCCCTGCTGTGAGTGACGCCTGGTGCAGAGCCAGCAGAAATTCCTGAGCAATGCTGGATATGGCCTTCAAACAAAAAACAATACAGAAAAGAACCACCTACAGATAGAAACATGTATAAATGTGAGTGGGTAATTGTTATATTTTCTAATTTAATTTTGTTTAGTGAATATCATCACCGTTTTTTAAAAAAATGTGAGGAGCTGGAGCAATAGTACAGTGGGTAGGGTATTTGCCTTCAATGCGGCTGACCCAGGTTCGGTCCCTGGCATCCCAGATGGTCTCTCAAGCACCGCCAGAAGTAATTCCTGAGTGCAGAGCCAGGAGTAACACTTGAGCATCGCTGGGTGTGACCCAAAAAGCAAAATAAATATTTAAAAATGTGATTTAAAGAAGGTGATTAAAAACCCACGCAGAGTGAAATTTATTTTTATGCTTTGGAATTATTGGAAACTTGTTCCAGCTCCTTCAGGCCTCCCTTCCATACCCCTCCTTTTTCCAATAGGCACTCGCTTTTACTAGTTCTGGGTGAATTTGTTGTTGTTTGTATCCGAAAATAAACAAGTGCACACATGATCCTTGCAAGAGATCAATACAGGAACTATACTAAATTCATATTGATCTGTACCTGGTTTTTCCTCTCTTTAACAATCTATCCTAAAGATCTCTATGTATTCGCACATTAGAACTCTATCCTTCACCAATTACAGAGCTGCCTCGAATTCCTGCCTGCAGAGACACTCCAGTTGATTCAGCCACCCTCTGACTCGGAGAGTTTTTGAGTTTTCAGTTCTTCACCATAAAAATCACTACTACAATGATCTGTTTACTTTGCACATGCATCATCTTGTGCAGATGTAACTGTCTGAAGAATTTCCCAGAAGTGGGATTTCTGGGTCAAAAGGAAATGCATTCGTAATTTTGAATAATGGTGCCAACTTGCCCTTTAGCTGATCTGTAATACTTTTCCATCCTATCAGTGTTCTAGGAGAGATTGCTTCCTACCCTGACTTAGGCCAGCAGACTGAAGTTTTGTTTCATTTTATTTTTTAGACTTTGGAATGAAGCCAATGTCTGGGTGTAGAAATAGCATCTCAGGGTCCCGGATCCCACGCCTTGCAGGGCAGAGACTTGTGAGTGCATGAGTTCAGTGCCACTCACAAACTCAAGTTTAGCCCAACAGCTTTCCCCAAATAACAGCAAAGAGAGCATTCTCCAGCATTATTGCAACAATGGGGGAAAAATACAAATTTAAAAGATGTTTCAGGATGGCAAATATGGAGAGAGAGAGACAGAGAGACAGAGCTACTAAGTGAGAGTCCAGGTCCTGTCCCTGGACATTCAAGTTCCTCCAGTAACACCAGCAGTAACCCCCAAGCGCTAAGCCACACATAGCTCCGAACACTACCAGGTGGGACTCCCAAATGAACAAACAACACATCTCAGCAGAGTGCATTTTTCTCATTATGGAAGATGCTAAGAATGGGAGAATGTAGAGTAAAGGGCTGGAGAGAAGACAGCAGGCAAAGCATTGGCCTTGTATGCAGTCAACCCGGGATGAATCCCAACATCCCCCCTGAACCCCACCAGGAGTGATCCCTGAGCACAGAGCCAAGTGCCAACCCTGAGCATCATTGGATAACAATAACAAAAAAAGAAGGGGTGAGCTCCTTAATAGGGGTTCGGGTACTTGCTTTGCATACAGCCGACCTTGCCTTGACCCCTGGCACCACTTGCCTCTGAGCTCTGCTGAAAATTGCCAGGAACAGCCTCCAGGCCTCCTAAGCTTCTGAAAAAAACCCCAACAACAAATAAAATTCAGTGTAAAATTGCTTTCTTATGTGTAAGTCCCCCTTTGAATTTCTTGTACTGTAAACCATTTTTTGTGGGGACGAAAGAGATAGTACAGATAGGCTGGCTCAGATCCCTAGTATCACACATGGTATGTGGTCACCATGGAGCACTTGTGGGCTTCAACCCAGTACCCACCATACCCTCAGTAAATAAATGCGTTTGTGTCCTTTGATAGTTTTTCTAAATTGTTTGGAGTGTTTTAGGTATCATCTGTGATTATCATTTGCAATTATAGCATCTCAGAAATTCTTTTTTGTCATTTTATTTTCCTTCTACTCTTTCTTTGTTAAGAGAAAAATTTCAAGTGCCAAGTGGTATAGCGTTGTGGCACTACAAAAATCCACCAGGCAAAGCAGTCTTAATCAGATTTGCAAAAACATTAAAATTACCTTTGTCAAAGTTTCTATTCCAATAGCCAGAATCTGGAAAAAATCTGAGTGCCTGAGAACAGATGACTGGTTGAAGAAACTCTGGCACATTTACATAATGGAGTACTATGTAGCTGTTAGAAAAGACGAAGTCATGAAGTTTACATACAAGTGGTACTACATGGAAAGTATCATGTTAAGCGAAATGACTCAGAAAGAAAGGGATAGACATAGAAAGATTGCATTCATCTGGGGAACATAAAGTAACAAAATAGGAAACTAACACCCAAGTATGGCAGAGATTAGTACCAGGAATTTTACTCAATGACCCGGAGGACAACCACACATGTTAGGGGAAGGGGGAGCTCAGAAAGAGAAGGGAACACCAAATAAAGGGTGTTGGGAGGATCCGCCCACGATGGGAGAGCATGCTGAGGGTAGACTGTCGACCAAGCATGATTGCCACTCAATGCCTCTTTTGCAGACCATGGCACTCAAAAGGAGAGAGAGGGAAATGCCCTGCCACAGAGGCAGGGTGGGATGGGGGCTGGGGGGGGGAGGGGATGCTGGGATCCGTAGTGGTGGGAAATGCGCACTGGTGGAGGGATGGGTGTTTGATCATTGTATAATCGAAACCCAAGCACAAAAATGTGTAAGTCTACAACTGTACCTCATGGTGCCTCACTATTAAAAAATAAATAAATAAAATATATATATTAAAAAATTACCTTTACTGCCCATTATAAATGTGAAGAAAGTAATTGCATACAATGTTCCAGTACCAATTCCACCACCAAGGGCAACTTCCTTCCACCAGTGTTCATCTGCCCAGCCTGTCTCCTTGACAGGCACACATTTCAGTTTGATATAGTTTAGATTTCAGGCTTGCAGTGTTGGTAACTGTGCTTTGGATAAAGAGATATACTACTCCTCTGCACCATTGATGTAACCAAAGCCCTTGACCCCTGCCACCACCCTCCTCTTCCATTACTTCCCACCTGTCTCTTCTTGCTTCTTCACACAATTTCTTTCCTTCCCTATCCTCCTTCCTGTACTCTGGGGTCAAGGATAATCACAGTATACCCCTTTTAATACCTTGCATTCCCTTATCTAGTCATTCTGTGTATCACAGACAAGTGAGATCATTCTGTGTTTTTCCTTCTGGCTTCCTTCACCTAACATGATGTTCTACAGTTCCAACCAGGTTGGAGCAAATTGTATGATTTCATTGTTCCTTGCAGCTATGTAGTATTTACAGAGTGATTTTTTGAATCAAAAAGCTGGATTTGGTACTTTTGTGGGTCCTTCTCACACTTGGTAACTGTGGAAACTAGACTTTAAACTGTGTTGATAGAAAGCTAATATTATTAAAGCGTAGTAACAGATTTGTGCCTATAATTATGAATCACACAAAGCTGAAACTACCCAGATAGAGAATTACAAAAAATACTGCAGCAAAGATCTCTATACTCTTCTCTGAGTTTTGATAACTACAAGCTTTCTATTTCTTTATGCTTTAAACCCTCTACTAAAGCAAAGTGATCATTCAAGTAAGATTGAACTTACTTGAATATCTACTTTACTTACTTTAATATTTCATTTTGGAATGCTCAACTTACATATCACACATTTATTATTTTTCTACCTATACTTAAAAACATCAGAATGAGAAACATCCTATTTGGGCATGTGTCTTTAAATTTGTATCAGAACTTGCTTTTAGTCTACCATACTTTGCTTCTTACATTCCTATTTTCTCGGTGAATTAATAAAAACAGTTCTGCTTTTTTTCCCCCCCTCCTGGTGTTGACAGAAATAAAAGGCCTCCGTGAAAGTTAGACATCAAGAATTGATTAAAGTGAGAATTCCAACCTAGAAGTAGTCTGACAGATTTTACTGATTGCTGATTTTACCAGTTGGAGTGAGATTATGTACATGAGGGGAGAAAAGGCAATAACATCAGGCTGTGGAGAGATCAAAACCCAGCACGAAAAGTCTTGACAGGGCTTCTGGGTTCTGTCAGTGAGGTTGAGAATGCCACAACCTCCCTGGGTGCCGTGACATTAAAGAACGCTTGTGTATCCTCCACCAGGAAGGCGGCACATGTGGGTCCTTAAACTTTTTGGGCTCTCTGCTCATCAGGGTTCTACTGGGGTTCTTGTGGTTGCTCCCTGTTTGATCTCCCCGTCATTGACCTTTTGGTTCACAAAAGAGGAGGAGAAGTTGATCTTCTTTCCTTCCAGGCTTATAGATTTCTCTGCAGAACTTCTAGTGAATTAAGCACAGGCGAAGGCCTAATTCTCTCTGTAATCCATGTTGTTTTCTACTTCATCTTATTTCTATGAACTTGGAAACAAAAGGCAAAAAATCAGCTACTAGAGAGATGAATAAAGAACAGTGGACTGCTCTTATAGAGAATTCTGGGAATTTCCCTACATCTCTCAGGGAGATGTACTTGTCAGGCTTATCCATTGCGCTCCAGTGGATAACGGCCATGGTACCCTATTTGTCTTGCAGATTTATTCAGGAGATCGAGCACGCCCTGGGACTGGGGCCAGCCAAGCAGTGTCCTCTTCGAGAGTTTCTCACCGCCTACATCAAAAACATCTTCCTCAATCAGGTCTTGGCAGAGATCAACAAGGAGATTGAAGGAGTCACAAAGACCTCCGACCCCTTGAAGATCCTCGCCAATGCAGACACCATGAAGGTGTTGGGGGTCCAGCGGCCCCTTCTGCAGGTAAGCATTGACATTGAGCTGATGCATGTCACCAGCAGTTTTCATCAACTTGGAAAAAGTCACACGTTACAAAAGAAAAAGAATTACCATCTGTTTCCATGCCCATCAGGGACAAAACAAGAGAAAATAAATGAAGCAGGCACTGGGGAAACTTAGGGCAGTTGTAGGATAAATTAAAAGTCCCTGCAGATCTTTAAGCAGAAAAAGTAGTTAACTTTGAGTATTGGAGAGAGAGGAAGAGAGAGAGAGAGTTTTTATTATTTTTTTTTAATTTTTAAAAAATTTTATTGAATCACTATGAGATATAGTTACAGCTTGTTTGAGTTACAGTCATACAATGATCCAACACCCATCCCTTCACCAGTGCACATTCCCCACCATAAATATCCCCAGTATACCCCCACTTTCCTACCTCATCCCCCTGCCTGCATGCATGACAGACAATATTCCCCATACTTCAGAGAGAGTTTCTTAATGTGCCGGAAACTCCCTCCCTCCTGGAAGTTGCTCTTGAAAGGAATTCTTCTTCCAATGGTCAGTGCATCCTGGAGTACAGAGGACTTACAGGAAGTCCATTTGCCTATGCTTGTTAACAACAGGCATCCATCTGTATCATTCCCAGACAGTCTCCCTCAAAATAGCTTGGCTAACTCACAGAGAGTCAGCCACTTAGATTTTCACAGTAAGACTAATTCAAGTGCCAGTCTTATTACTATCAACCATGTCATCTTGACTATAGATAAATAGATAGATAATTTATTTCTGGGAAGCCGAAGAAGGTAATTTATCTTGAGGTAAATTAGATTAAGATGCCTAAGGTATTTATTTTAGATATTTTAGCTAGTGTCTTGAAGATTAATATAAAATGAAAAGAAAATTAGTAAGAATTTAAACTTTGAGAATAGTTCAGCTGTGATTATGTGATTACATCGTCATTGAATCTTCACCGTGTTTCTTCATTAAAAGAATGCTTGGCACAATATTTTGGTTCTGTTTGACTCTTCAGCCACACCTGCTTTGTTCCAAGCTTATTCCTGGACTTTGTACTCAGGAATCACTCTTGGAGTGCTTGGGGTCCATATAGGGTGACAGGAACTGGACCTGGGTTGGCACATACAAGGCAAATGCCCGACCCACTCTGGCCCATCTATATTTTTATGTAAGTTGCTGATATAGGAATGTCTCAACACGTGGAAAGCTGGAACTTGTCAAAGAAAAAATGTATGATTAGAAGATTGTTGTAGTGACTTTAATTGCCTGTTTTATTTGGGTGCCTTTATTGGATGCCTTTCTTTGTACATTACAATGAATTTAAATGCTGAACCATTTAGAGGAGGTATTCTTATTCTGAGCATCATTTTTCTGTGGGATAAGGCTTTCATGGTATTGAGAAATGGGATGAGTCTCTAGGCTCTAGAATAACAGCATCACAGCTAGGTGATAATAGTCTTGTCTGTAGCAAATTATTCCTGGTGAGGGGTCTGTGCTGAGTGTGGGGCAGAGAGACAGTAGGAAGACAAAGGCTTGTGTTCAGTCTGTCCCTGCTGGAAATCTCTGTCCCTGAATGGTTGGACCTTCTCCTCTGAGTGCCTCAGTTCAGTCTCTTTCTTTTTTAATTTTTTTTAATTTTATTGAGTCACCATGAGATACAGTTACAAAGCTTTCGTGTTTGAGTTTCAGCCATACAATGATCAAACACCCATCCCTCCACCAGTGCACATTTTCCACCACCAGTGTCCCCAGTATCACCCCCCTCCATCCCAGTCCTTACCCTGTTTCTATGGTAGACAAGTTCCCCAACACTCTCTCTACTTCTTGGGCATTATGTTTTGCCAAAATTTTCCCACTACCATTCAGGCCTGCCTGCCAGGAGCAGATACTAGATTATTTATTTTCCATTGCTCATTTTGAATATCATGAAAGTCCGTGCAGCCACCAAGTGGCCGCGTGCTTCTGGAATCCTGTATTGTAAATGGTTGGGTTCCAGAGACATCTCTGTAGGGCACTAATCCATTTTTTAATTCAATTGAGAGTCTCTGGACCAGGGCTGTTGGTATGCTAAGATGGCGCCCGGAGGAAACTTATGGGCATGACAGCCAGGCTGCTGAGCAGGTGGAGAGCTGAGGAAGGACAGCCAGGCACCTCTGCCACCATGCAGCTTGGAGATTTTAGTACTGGAACCTGCATACCTGGACCTTGCTTGTGGAAGCTCTTGGTCGCCGGAATTCCATCTGGAGTAGGCAGGAAGAGTGCACCTACTCCAACTGGGGTGCCCCACTGAAATTGGCCCAGAGGGATCTCTGGCACTGTGGTCTCCCTGCTGTGTCTCTCAGTCTCACTTCTACAGGATGCGGGTCCTTCTCAAATCCATTCTCAGAACTGAAACCGAAGTGTATTGACTATAACTGAAGCTCCCTTACCGAATGATGTGGGATCAACTCTGCTGTTTCATCGGAAACATTAGCAGGAGATTGGAGGCATGAGGAAAAAGAGGGAACAGGGAAGGGATTCTTACTTCCCTCTTCTCCAGTTTGGTTGTACTGAGCGCCTCCCTCCTTGAGTAGTGGCCCTACCAGGTGCCATCGCATCTGTGCCTTCAGTTCTCACTGGACCCCAGTGATTCTGCTTCTCCTCTTCGCCCTTTGATTACAGCTGCCAGTTTTTACTATTCTGTGCATGTCGCCATATCCCTACTTGTTTCTTTTACACCAAACCAGTGTATACCACCTGTGGCTCTCACTTGGATGTGACCTTATTAATACTAATGGTAGTGCCAACATCAACCTGTTAAGTGCTGTCTATACCTCTCTCTCTCTTCATTAATTTTTCTTCATTTGAATTGTCTGAGTGGAGTTCGCTTTCATGTTGTGTTAGTATCCCAATTAGCTCTCCCACTTAGTCACTATTTTAGAGCTTTGATTTTTGTCAACATTTTTTCCTTTTTTTTGCTTTTGGGCCACATCCAGCAGTGCTCAGGGATTATTCCTGGCTCTGCATTCAGAGATTCTGAAAGACTTTGGGGACCATATGAGGTGCCAAGGATTTAACACAGGCCAAATCAGTCCCATGCAAGGCCAGTGCCCTTCATGCTGGACTTCTCTCCAACCCCAGATTTTTGCCTTCTTTAAAAGAGCAACTGTAATTAATGTATAATATGATATATTTATTTTTCCCCATGTGACGTATTCAATATGCCAAACACAGTAACAACAAGTCTCACAATGGAGATGTTACTGGGCCCGCTCGAGCAAATCGATGAACAACGGGAGGACCGTGAATATTAGAAAAGCTCCATTACAATCTCGGGCAGCAAGGAGGTCCTCAGTCAATAGTGTATTGAATGAATGCCAGGTCCAGAGAGCTAGATCAGGGGACTGGAGTGCCTATTTTGTACATGGGAGGCTTGAGTTGATTCCCTGGCACCAAGTGGTCCTCTGAGCATCACAGGAAGTGACCCCCTAGGTATCACTGTGCTAGGTGTGTCGCACAAACTAAAAAGAAAACAATGCGTGTTTGAGTGCGAATAGATAGGTGGATAGAAGAAAGTGAACTAGTTCGGAAAGTTATATATAACTGCCGGATCAAATTGGGACAATGAGAAATAGAGCCAGGGACCGACATGCATCTTGTCATTTGACCATGCCGTGAGCTCCATCGCTATATATCACCTGTTGGTATTTCTGAAACTTGTGCTCTGTGCTGTACCAGACCACTTGAACACACTTAGCACACTAAATCTGAAAGAGCCCGAAAGAAAGACAGCCCTGAACTACAGGTGACTGTGGGTGGGAGATGCTGGCTCATTAAATTCAGTAATTTTCAGCTTGAGTAGCAAAGGCACATTAAGTCCATAACTTGTTTGACTACTATCTGGTCCTTGTCATGGCCACTCACTGCCGATCATGCTTGACATCACTGGGCAGTCCACCTCGTGTTGGTCACATCCCTCCCACCCTCCTCACCAGCCAAGGGTCCGTGTGCTGGGCCTCTTGTTCTGCGAATCAATTACTTCTCACTGAGGCTGGGTGAGCACTCCAACCCACCCTGTTCTCTTTTTGACCTTGTCAGAATGGGGTAATTATATGTGAGTAAATCTATGGCCATTCAGGCTGCATGTCTTCAAATTTATTTTGCAAGCCCAAACACCTGCTTTCTTATTTGGTTATTTGTTGCCCTCTCTTCATAAAAATTTTATTTTATGAGAATGCAAATGAGATACCATAGTGCATTTGTTTAATAGTCTTGGGGCACTGAGTTGATGAAAGCAAATGAGGCGATTTCTTTTTCCTCTCATATTTTGAATTACTCTCTTTATAACGATTAAGAGTTGTTTTCTAACATAATGTCCCAAGCACAAGTTTCAGTGTTCCTTAAACATGTCCCCTTGTCTTCGTGAGAGTTTTGTTCACAGCTGATTGTCATAACTAGTCAAAAAGGGGGAACAAAAAGGGAAGGAGGGAGGGGGGAGGGAGGAAGGAAGGAAGGAAGGAAGGAAGGAAGGAAGGAAGGAAGGAAGGAAGGAAGGAAGGCACCCTCAAACCTCTGAGTGGAGAACCTCCAACAATTGTTCTGAAAGGGGTCTAGACTAGAGCTCAGCCTCTGCATGGGGGAGCCCTGGATTTGGTCCCCCAGAAGAGCTGCTTCACCCCCAAGCACATTTGGGTATGACCCAAAGACAAAAATTTAACATACATATTTGCAAAAATTTTAAGGGAGAATTGGGGTGTGAAGTGTGACCTGGAGCAGTAAGTAGTGAAAGTCACAGGCTCTAAACGTTGAGTAGAAATGTGTCCTCAAAAGTCATTGTCCTGCTGGGCTGCTCACCTAGTGGGAGGAAGGGCTGTGTCTCTCACCCTCACCAGCATCCCATGTCATGACCCACCAGCTCTGGGGCTGCCCAGTGAGGACAGGGAAAGGGTTTTCTCTGTATCTGTGAGAACTCCAGGACTGTTCTCGCCTCTCAAAAACAACAGCCACCGTACACACGCATGTTTCCAGAG